ACCCCTTTCCCTCGCCCCGCGGCCCCGCGCCCCTGGTTTCTGCTCCCGCGTCCTCGTCCCCGCGACTCCTGCCCGACCCTGACGCCCTGTCTCACAGCTCGGCCGCTACTCCGCCCTGGTCGTCGGCATCGCCTATGGAAGCAAGCGCTACAGTGAGTGAGCGAGGGCAGGCCGGGCGGGGGCGGCCGGGCGTGTGGGCTCCTGCCGTCAGGCATTCAGGGACTGAGTCGCCCCCAGGTTACCTGAAACCTCGGGCGGAGGAGGAGAGGCGGATAGCCGCGGAGGAGAAGAAGAGACAGGATGAGCTGAAACGCATCGAGAGGGAACTGGCGGAAGGTACTGAGTGCGCCTCAGAGCAGCTCCCAGGTGTTCAGGAACAAGCGCTGCCTCACCCTCGACGCTGCCTTCCCGAGAGCAGCCTTGCATGGGGGAGGGCGCCGCAGTTTGCTTTTAGGGGAGCCCAGGCCTCAGACTGGCACCCACGCAGTGGCCGCACCACCCCCTACAGGCTGTCACCTGCTTCTCTGTTGACCCCTTTCCCAACTTCTGAAGTTTCAGGTCGCCTGTGTTCTCTCCTTTTTTTTGGAGATTGCTTTTTATGTTTTTATTTCAGAAGTGTTTTTCTTATTTTTTATTTTGAAAATTTTTTTGGGTACTGGGGATCGAATTTGGGATCTTGTGCCTGTGAGGCATGGAGCAGAACCACTGAGCTAAATTCCCGCCCATGTTCTTTTGGAAATAGGTTCTGATTTGTTTAAAACCGAAACTCCGACCTTATAGGTGGCCTGAGAACTGTAAAGCTGCAACACATTGTTTCTTTTAACTTTCCATTTTCAGCCCGGGATGACAGTATACTGAAGTGAGAGGTGTTACCAGCCTGCATTGCCCCAGATGAATAAAAGCTTCCCGAGTTGTGTGATGCTCTGGCTCTTGTTTCATTGCTGCCCCAGCTATTTCCTGGACTCACTCAATAGTTGTGCTGCTTTCCTCAGGGTGGGGTCCTGGGAGGAATTTCATAGGAACTAAGGAGCATTACCCACCCTAGACCCCAAATGCAGCTCACAAGCTCAAGGCTCAATGCCCAGAGTCTGGGGTGTAATGGAGCAGGTCCCAGCCCTTGGGGTGCTGTTCATTCTGCTCTGGGCTCTCCTAGCTGCCAGGTCCCTGGACAGGCAGTGCAAGCTATGGGTGTGGGCTGGGTTCGTGCCCTTAAGGTGGATCCTCTGTCCCCAGCTCACAGCCCTCCCTGGGTCTTTGGGAGGTGTTCATGGTGGCCCTGAGACTGATCACCTCCTAACACGGAACTGTTCAGGCAAGCTGGGGTGTCTCCTGAGCAGTTATCCTTCACCAGGGACTCCTGGGCTCCTTTTGGTGGTGAGCTGATCCGTCCTGGTTTGCTGTTTGAAGTCCAGTAGGAGGGCGCTGCTGCTTTCCAGCTGTACGCCACGAGCAAATTTCCTGTGCATAGATCCCAGTTTTCCTATGCTTGGATCCCAGTTTGCAAAGTGAGTTTATTTGAAAATGTAAAGAGAAACACAGGCATTTCAAAGTACCTCTTGGTTTCTGTGGGTGAAATGATGCCCCTGCCCCAGGCTGATGTCCCCGCCTCTGGGTCCCGGTGGTTGCTGTAGGGTCACCCCGGTCCAGTTGTAGGTATTTATAGCAGGTCCCTGAGGTAAGGTGAAGTTTAAATCAGCTCCCCTTTGCTATAGGCAGGTGGCTGTGCTGGGTGTTGTCCCACCTCACCTAGTGAAGGGTCCATTGTCGGTAGCAAATGCCTTGGTGCTCACCGTGTAGTAATCTTTTTAAAAATAAATTTTATTTTATCTCATTTCCCCGCTCCCCTTAGGTTCCTCCCCTCCCATGTACAAAACCTTTGTTTCCATTTTTTCCTTCTATTTTTACTTTTTTTTCTTGTCCCTTTCTTCCTAATTCCTCCCTTGCCACTTGAACATTTTCCTCCCATTTCCCAACATCTGTTATACATTTCAGTCCTTATTTCCACTTTCGGTTTCTTATATCAGCGAAACAATATTTAAATGTGTGTCTGATTTATTTCACTTGAGAGTATACCGTGTGTTAATTTATTTATGTAGGAAGATTCAGAGTTCAAGGCCATCCTGTGCTACATAATTATACTTGTTATTTCCACCAGATAGTACCCCTCTTCCAAGGTGAATTCCGTGAAGTTTGGTGGGACTTTCTGCCTTTGCCTTTCTCCAGGCTCGCCAGCATTGTTACTGGAGGTGACGGGTACTCTAAGCAAAGCTTCTCTAGTGCAGGGCCTGCAGCTTTGGGTCCCACCCCTAGCCTCTAGTTTAGATCCCTGGCACCACTCATATCTGGTTCCTGTTCTGTTCACTGCCAAGAATAGGCCTTTCAGTGCAACTTCCTGATGGGTTCAATACTATGAGCTCACCACAATAATTCCACCATGTAAAAAATGGGGGAGTTGGTTTTTTTCTTCTTTTTTTAAAAAAATTTAATTTATTGGTACATTCTAGGTAGACAGTACAGCTACATTCATTACTAGGATCTTGTACCTTTACACGTGGGAGTTGTTTTTTCTTCATTCCGAATTCCTGGGTATGTTGACTAGAGCAGACGGGATAGATACTAACTACATATATACACGTATGTACACACACTGTTCTGAATGTCCCCACTAGATTTCTGATAGTTCACAAACCCCGTTCAAAGATCTCCCTGTGGGAACTATCCAAAAAAAAAAAGCTATCCCATTGAAGTTTTATAGTTGGCTTTAATTCATAGAAACAAACCTTAAAAAAATTTAATGTATCCAAAATTATCTTTGGTCATGTCCTCCCAGGCAGAGCCCAATCCCATCAGGTGTCTCGGGGGAGGGAGCCAGTGGCTCATAGGATGCAGCAGGTTGAAGACTTGGGTGTTGGGCCACCATTGCAGACTTCCATGCCCACTGCAAGAGAAGATGGACAGTAAGCAAGCACTTTCCCTCCCTGTGTTCCCTGTGTCCTCTACTGGTCCCTGCAGCCGATTATCTGGGCTGAGCCTGTCTTAGAGTTTTAGCCCCTGCTGACACTGCCCTGATTACTGTCTGTCCCAGCCTCCAGCAATCTAGAGGCTGCCTTATTCACTCTGGCCTCCTGCCCAGTGGCCGAGAGAGTAGGGAACAGCAGGAAGACAGAAGAGCTACAGTGGGCAGGACAGGCACTAGCAAGGCAGTGCCACTGGGACTGGCTGCACTGACTCTGAGACGTCCCCAAGATGTGGGGTGGAAATGTAAATATGTCACGGCCAATGTTATGCAGGACCAAACTTTTGCTTGTTTTTGGGGGGGGGGGGCCTTTTTTTTTTTTTTTTTTTTTTTTTTTTTT